TTGCTCCTAGTAGCGATGCCAGGAGCCCCTAGTATAGTAGTATGGCCAGGAGCCCCTAGTAGCGTCCTTGCTCCTAGTAGCGATGCCAGGAGCCCCTAGTAGCTTCTTGCTCCTAGTAGTATGGCCAGGAGCCCCTAGTAGCGTCTTTGCTCCTAGTAGCGATGCCAGGAGCCCCTAGTATAGTAGTATGGCCAGGAGCCCCTAGTAGCGTCCTTGCTCCTAGTAGCGATGCCAGGAGCCCCTAGTAGCTTCTTGCTCCTTGCAGTATGGCCGCTCCTAGTAGCGATGCCAGGAGCCCCTAGTAGCTTCTTGTTCCTAGTAGATCCTAGTAGTATGGCCAGGAGCCCCTAGTAGCGTCCTTGCTCCTAGTAGCGATGCCCTTGTTACTAGTAGCGATGCCAGGCCATCGCGTGCTCCAGTCGGACCTCCGTGCTCCAGAGGTATGACTGGACCCGACTCTGTCGCAGCCAACCCAGTCCCACCGAACAAACACGAAGGTACAACTGGAGCCTAAACGGGGCATGTCATGCATAGTCGGCTTTGCTTTTAATCATGAGATCCCCAACGAATGGGTTGCAGTTAATGGGTGTTTAGTCTATTTTTCAGACTACTTGATGCCCAACATGAATGATAAAAACTGCGATGTCTTTCAAATGACATGACACAGGATGGGACTGATGAGTAACCCTCTAGTGGATGTCCACAAGTGGATGTCCCCGCTTGTCCCAATCCACACGCATTCTCCCGCAGTTTTTTGACCCACATCCACATTCGCAGCACCAAGGAACTATATGTTTGATGTCCCTTTACGGCAAGGGCGTGAGTTCCAAAAGCAGAACGTGAACTTGGCACGTTCCCTGGCCTTTTGAGGTTGTGATGAAGGGAAATGCACTCTTTTTCAACTGACTGGTGCTTACTAGGGAATGAGGGAATGGATCCAAAGGAATCTCTATTGGGGGCTCATTCCCTCATTCTCTACTAAGCACCAATCAGTCACGGTCAGTGTTTTCTTCGAGATCTCAGCGGCAAAACCCGATTTCTGAAGACCAATCGATTGGCAGTGTTTGGAACCTGTTTTGCAGCAGCTTGGACGCACGCGGATGGTGGGGTCTGGTGGAGAGGTTTCGCATGTTTTCTAAGAGGATCTTCCTGCAACTCCCTATGACTGCCTATTGGAATTGGGCCTGGCTCCTTGATACAAGAAACATTTGGGAGTTTCATGGCTCTGGATGAATGTGATGGGGGATGATGATTCTTCCCCACCATATTCCAGGGATTGATCTAATATGGACCTCGGAACCATTGACATTCTGATTGTTGATGATCGTTATCACTAAACTCAAAGTGTAGCCGAAAGGCAATCTAAAATCATGGGTCTTTTGGAAGAACGGATCTGGACTGCTCGGGACATGGTCAACTCTGGTCGTAGACCACTGATAGGTGACGCGGGGTAGGCTCATCAAGCCTGCTGGGCACCAAGATAATATCTGGTGAGTTGCAGTGAGAGTTGAGACTGAATATGAATAGCGGTGAACGTGGTGACATGATCATAGACAGTTTGTGTCTGAGATTCTGCTATCCAGTCCATTTTAGGGAACATGGGTATACTGTTACAGATATGATATGATACACTGGACTATTGACTATAAGTGACTATAGTGACTCTAGGCAGGACATGCTTGGTACAAAGCTGCTCAGTGCAGTACAAACTTGGTCCCTTTCCTTTCCTCTGCTTGAATCAGCAGATCATTTTGACCTCTTGAGAGGCACCTGTCGAAGATGCTTTGCGGTTTGCGTTTCGCTTCGGACGTCGCGCGAGACATGACGTCCAGGCTATGCGTTGTTTCGGGAAGATATCCGGGACCTTGCATCTCTGACCACCGATAAGGTGCACAGCGGGAGAAAGGAGAAAGGACGCATGGGAGTCGCTGTCGAGCAATTACACATCCTTTTAAAGATATTTCCAAATAAGAAAGGCTCCTTTTAAGGCCTCAAATATGCTTGATGGACAAGATTGGATTCTTCAAGCCCTTTTTACACTCAAAGCCCTTTTTGCACAGATCAGACTGGGATACCTTCAGAACTCCACTGGCACGAAGCAGGTTTATGCTGGGTGAATCTTCTAGAACAGAGGATCACATGGTCAGCTCCGAAGACACCGAGTACAGCGATCGAGGGCCCTGAAGGGCCACACCTTTCACTCCGTGGAGGAACCTGACAGACCAAGCGGTCGAGAATGGTCTCCAAGTCTTGTATATGGATCCGTTCCTAACCACTGGCTGAAGGTAGATCCCCACGAAAAATGTATCGGACACCGTTTCTATCTACTTGGACCAGTTGTACCGTCTCAGAAATGTGGTGCCAATTCTTTTTCACGTCCTCTGAGAACGTGTTGTTTCGACGGGAACATGTTTCTTTCGTCCACGCCCGACCGCTGTGAGCAGGTGTCGAACCTTCTGGTCATCAATACCTTGAAGGCTGGATGAATGAATGGAGCCATTTTCGTGGGAATCGGATAGGCCTTTAGGAGCAAGGACGCTACTAGGAGCAAAGGGCATCGCTACTAGGAGCAAAGAAGGACGCTACTAGGTGCAAAAGAACACAGTTCAAGAAGCGGATGCAGGGAGGCGCAATCTTGCATGCTTTTGTCATGTTGATTGAGATCGAGGGTATTTGGATGTATTTGGTGTGTGGGGTGTCAATGGAATTCTATACTCTTGAGGCAATGTAGATAGTAGACCGATAGACTTGTGATGGGTGTGGCCAGAAACTATAGACCTAGGGGACTGCAGCTGTTGGATAGTGATATAGTACTTTTCTGTACTGTGGTAATGTGGCCAGGCACCACTCTATACTAGCCATTTCCTTGCGTGTTACTCCCCTCCAAAACGACCGTTTGATTGGGCCAAGTGTAAATCATGTTGAGCATGGGGTGTACCGTGGTTTCAGAGTAGACACAGACCGCAGGATGACCTAGACAGAAGGTTGGGGTTGTGCCATCTACTCTGAAACCACTGGAGGTGGGATCTTCGGTGACATCCCATCCACCGCACCACATGGCCAATCTGCCGTTGTATCTCCGCTGACGACGGACCCGCCAGGTTGGCTTCATTGTCACTGGGAACGCAAGAAGCAGACAGACAGACAGACAGAAAGACAGACAGAAAGACGGACAGACCGCCAGACAGCCAGTCAGCCAGACAGCCAGACGGCCACACAGCCAGCCGGCCAGGCAGGCAGGCAGGCTGACACAGAGAGAGAGAGAGAGAGAGCCGTTGTTTCAGTTTGACGGATGTGGCTCACATGGACAAATTCGATGGAGGCTACCCATGGGTACACCAAATTCTTGAGCCATAGCAGACAGCACTTCACTACTGGAGCCGGGACATCCCGATAGAGCCTCGGGAAAGGGTTCAGCTTGCCTGGGAATCTGGAAGACAACCTGCCTCTTCAAACGTAATTTAAGCTACATTCAAGCCAGTGGATTGTGGGCTTTCTGTCAAAGTGCTAGGAAGGACATTGTGCATCGCGAAAGGCCCAGAGAGTCTTCTTGCTCCACACCAACAATATCCAAGTACTGTGAGAACACACAGTTCGTGTCCCAACTCGGCATCACAGCATCTATGATGACACTGGAATGTCAGTCATATGTCCAACACTGACTGCCCCTGAGTTGCAGCAACTATATAAGATGAATGTTGAAGATCTCGGGCTCCCAAACTTACAAGAGTTCGTTTGTTCAAGTTCCGGACCATGGTCTTCGCTCAGCTACCAGACCTCCCCCAGGTCTCAGTCTACTTCAACTTCGACCGAACGGACGCTGGCTTCGAGCAGCTGACCTGGCACGATCAGATTTTGAGCGTGCTCTTGTGCCTGGGAACGAGTCGAGTCGAGTTGGAACGGTTGAGAAGACCCAGAACGTCGGACATACGTTTGGACCCTGTATAGTGGGAACCTCGTTGGGTACACATATATGTATATATAGAGTGGTACAGGTAGTGGTACGATGTGGTACGTAGTATGTACATGGTATGGACATAGGGCAAAGTTTGGACCAACCAAAAAACGGCTCTTGGACCTCTCGGCCCGCTTGCGGGTGTGGAAAGGGGGTTAACGTCGTGTTGCCGCGGTGGTGTCTCCCCTATTTCCTCCCACTTGAAGTGACATGAGCTAGAGGATTTCCACAGATTTTCAGGGTCAAGAAGGTGCAAGTTCCCATCCATGGGTGTTTCTTTTGAAAAAGCAGTTTCCAAACCAAGCACGTTTGGCACATTGTAAATGCCAGGATGTTTGCGTATGGATGTCTTACCCATTTCGTCACTGACATCACGTGGTCACTACCCGGTGTGCGATCAGAGATCCGAATGAGGGACCTCTCAGACAGATTTAGGTACAGGTCCGCACCAGTGTGATGTTTGATGCTGAGGGAATTCAGCGGGAGCAGAAGTGGAATTTGCATCTCACGGAATTCCCTCTTGGGAGGAACATGGTGCACCATGGAAGGAGCATGGGGATCATGGGAGGAGCATCCACGTCGTCCACGAAACCATTCCACGTCGTGTGCGTCACGGCTGGATCTTGCAGCACTGAGGGGTATGACTCTTTTGACCTCCTTCTTCTTTCTCATGACATCGCAACCTGGCTGGAGAAAAAAGCTCTCCACGTCGTCGCATCAGCGGATGGTTGGGAAAACCGGATCACGGATCCAACAGGGTTTGGGTATTTCGATCTCAACATTCAACGCTTGCGACGCTTGTTTGTATTTTTTGCAATTGCTAGTAACAAGAAGCTACTAGGTTGGAGGCCGTCGCTACTACTGGCAAGATTGCAGCTTTTCAGCACACCCCCCAGCAACCCATGATCCCATGGTTTGGCCACGTCCGACGTGGCGGACGATGACAGGGGGCCAAGGAGGGGAAGGTGGGATGGAGCCTTCGACTGGTCCAAAACCAGGACCTGCCGAGTTCCGGTGGTGGCTGCAGTGGTGCCTCTCACTCAAGTCAACACCACGGATCATGGAACTCTAGGTGATTCATTCACATCTTCAAAGGGGTTTGATTCATTCATCGTTGGTCCACGTCCTAGAGAGGGTCCGTTCGCTTCGAGGAGGAGGGTCCGTGCTTTGGAGCGAAGACAACGTTCGTCCCCCATCGAAAGAGAGGTGCCGTTTGGGTCGAACACAGCTCGATCAGGTTGGATATTTTTGGGTCGAACACAGCTCGTTCTCGAGGAAAGCCACGGAGACGCTGCTGTTGCAAACGATCATTGGTGTTTTTGAAACCCGAGGATTTGGTTTGCCATGCACGCGTTGCAGCTCGCGCAAGCGATTACGACCAAGCACCTTGGCAGCCTTGAGGAGAATGAGCTGTTTTCTATTTTTTTGTTGTTGGAGGGCAACACGATCATCATGCCATGCATTCAACATGTTGACACTTTGCTTGATGCTCAGATGCTGCTATGCAACAGACATTCCAATCATTGCTACAAACATGTAACTGCAGTGAAACCAACTCTTTCCAACGACACCTGGTTTCACGTTGGGGCGGAGTAGCAAAGAGCTTGGCACGGCTAAGACTAGATGTTAAATCCCTATAGGGCTCCAACTACCTCCTGAGAAGATGGTTGAGGTGGATTTGAGGGGTCTAACCACCTTCTGAGGATATGATTGGAGCCCTAGGCAATGATGTGGTTGGTAACATGTTGGAATTGAATAAGTAAACCATAGTAAACCTATTTCCTCCTGGCTCGCTGGTGCACGTCGAAAACCGGATGTTACGTTTGAAGTCGCTAACGCTGCCGTTCTTGGACCAGGTTGCTCGTGCAAGTGGTGCGAATTCCCATGCCCACAGAGATTGACATTGCCAAGGCTGGCAAAGACGGAAAGAGCTGAAGAATCATGGGACAGGAGGGGTCTGGATGAGAATTCAACCCTGCATATGCATATGAAGAGGTTTTACATGGTTTTACAATCCAATGGAGGATATTCTTCTACCACTGTGTGGTAGAGAAAATGGTCTTGCAGGGCCCACCAAGTCGAGGGGATCTGTCGTGGACGTTGATGTTCGCATCATCGCAAACCCACCAGGAGGGAGGTCATTCGGTCTGAGAGGTCATTTCGGTCGCAAGGAAGGCAGCTCTTTCCTCTGCACGTACTGCTCTTTCCCTATTGCAGTTCTCACTTCAGAAGCGAGCTGTCCAGTCCAACCTTCAGTCCAGTTGTCCGAAGCTTCCCTGGATCGGATCCGACACACCAGACGAGACGGTCGGTCCGACGGTCCATCTCAGCTCCTTCTCGGCTTGCCCAGGCCGCCACGGAAGCCAAACAGTTCGAGATGAACTTCCGTGAGGCAAGGGGGGTTCCGTCGGGGAGATGCGATTCCAGGTTTGGGTGGAGCGGTGTCCACCGCGGCGCCTGATGTAACACGGAGTGATGTAACACGTCGGACGGGACGACTGGACGATGATTTTGGGAGGGGTACGCTTATGGCTGTGAACATTTGGGGGTACACCTGGGAGGCTCCGCCCATGCGGCAGATGGGATGTCGTGGCTGAAGACGAGGGATGGTATAGGATGATACGTGTGTCAATGCCGGCGGTGGCGGGGTTCAAAAGAAGTGGAACCAGGCCTCCTTGTATGCTTTGTATGAAGTCTCTGTGCTGGCATTTTATTTATGCCTAGCAGTGTAAGCGTAGAGAAAGACCCTTTGCTGACGCAGAGATGCTGGAGAAAACAGCAGCGATGTGGAGGACTCTGAATTGTTTCTTGACAGCCGTGACCATATTGATAGGATTTTGAGGCATGGCCATACGAGTCTACAGTCGTTTGGACAGAGGCAGTGGCAGTCACAGAAATGTGGCACCCTTTTTGCTTCGGGAACTGGGATCTATACTACTACCTTCTGTCCTTGTTTTGTTTCTTTTTCTCATCAGACTCTTATTGACTTGTTCATTTTTGCCTTTCTCACCCAAATGATGCAGGCTTTGCGGGTGCCCTTCATGAGCGGCCAGCCTGATGCGCAAAACGGGCAAAACGGGCAGCTGCCGCACCCGAACAGTATGGATGACTTGAAGTTGCTCGTCGAGATTTGAGCAGAAACTACAGGAGCTTCTCAAAGAACAATAGAACCTGTAGTTTCCTGCAGAACCCGTGCAGAACACGTGCTCTGAAGCTCCTGTAGTTGCTTTCAAAGAAACTCGTGCTGCAGGACAGTAGAACCCGTGCTCCCCCGTAGGTGCAGGACCATCGCCAGTCTCTAATGCTCTCCAGTGCTCTCCAGACTCCCCAACATCTGCTCCGTCTCGCTCCCACCGGCGCCGTGCTTCGTCACACCGAGTCATGTGGACGACCTCAGCGTCAGCGACCTCTCCGGGCTCACCAGGCCGAGACGAAGCCGTTGACCTCGACGGACGACGAAGCCGTCGGAGGTCGACGAAGCCGTCGGAGTGAAAACGGTGGGACGAAGCGAGTCGTTTTTGGCTCTCTCCCATCCACTCAGTCGAAGAACACTTCTCTTTGATCAGATTCTGTAATCATCTATCTGTAGTCTTGAAAAAGGGGCCATTAAATTGGCCACTTCCACTGGTTCTTGGTGACGGAGGGTATGTACTTGTTACTTGGGTGACTGAGCAGAGGTTTTTCACGCAGGACTTCGATGCTGCACAAGAGGGAACAAGGGTTATAGCCCTCAGATGGGCAATTGGGATTGATGGTGTTTGTTTTTGCATCCACGGGCTGCAATGGTGGAGACGCTGAGATGTTTCAAGATGTGTTGATCGTTTGAAGTTTGTAGATGTAAGGCTGATAGTAAAGGACCCTCCTATACTTATATATGATCAAATGTTAAGAATGTGCTCCTACGACCATCATGCTAACCCCACTGAAGAGATTCTGTCACGCAACAGACTCGGTTTGACAATTTGAAGGAAGCATGGCTGTGACATTGCATGGCCTGACAGCATGATTCGAGCATGATCTCGAACGACAAACCCTAAAAGAGAAGGTTTCACCGTTGACCCGCTGGGAAAGCAAGAACAACCCCAACAACTTGTGTTTTGCATGATATCGTCGATGGACAGTGGTGCTCTAGGCACCATGACTACATGACGCACTTGTTTTTAGATACTCGACGTCCAACAAAAATGTATCAAGCGGCTGGACAGTGCAAACAGGGGTTCTGGCTCCATGCTGCTCGGGACTGGCTCCCGCATCACCTGGGCCAGGCTACCTCACAGAGTGAAGACCATGGTGAAAGAGCAGATGGTGACTTGGCTATGTTGCATAGGGTCCAAAAATGTCCAAAACCTTTTGAGTAAAAACAAGATGAACAGCTGTGAGCCATGCAGGGAGCCCGCTCGGTTTGGAGCTCCCTGCTTTGTTTTGGAGCCACAGCTAGTGAGAAATCGGCGAGCTGCAGGAGTTGAGTTTCTGCACCTGGGATGGGGAAGGGTCCACTGTGACATGGGTAGTGCTGAAAACAGAATTTCAGCGGAGTGACTCAAAACCAGCACGTCCACATCGGAAAGAAGGACCTGTTGTGTTCTCAGGGTTCTTCAAATGATGCTCCTCTACCGTCACGGTCACTGACCGCCCGGAGAGCGCATGCACGAACCTCACCCACTCATGCAAGTGACGCACGAGGACCGCATGATTTTTTAAACCATTTGCAAGTATATGAAAGTATAAAGAAAGATCAGACACCACAAAAGGACGTGTAAGGACATGAGAAAGGACACTTGATGACAAGAGGTGCCATGATTGGGTTGCACACAACGAGCCGATGGCATCAAATGCCCCCAAACTCAGACTTCCCGTCGTTTCCCACAAAAATGCACACATGTGCAACATGGTGCGGCGAACTCTGCGATCACATTTTCCGCGAGAGTGCCAGACCTGCTCCTCTTTTCCACCGATCTGCGAGGTGAAAGATGACCCGCTGGCCTCCAAGCCAGGCTAGGAGAACCCAGTCCTGGCAGGTGTTTTGAAGAGGGACGGACCGTCGGCATGTGGGGAAGGCTTTGGCATCCCGGCTGGTTTCTGGTGCAAGAGCCTGAATTATAGCGCTGTTCCTACTGTTCAGGCCTTCTGGAGGTCCCACAAGAAATCATAATTCACACATGATCAAACTCCTAAAAATTACAGTACCAGCATCCTTGGATTTGTATTCAAGCTTGTTCCAGATATTCTGTTTAGCAGTTTTCAACTTCTTTTTTTTGGTTAGCAGCATGTAAGCTGTTTTCATTGCCCTGGAGGTTGTTTTCGTCGCATTTGCATCCTTAGTTCCTTGATGGATATCTACTCCTTCACACAAAGGACAATGAATCAGGTGTCATCTTTCTCTTGAATTTCCAAAAGATGACTGTGAAGACATGTACACTCTTACTCACTCACATGCAGGTGAAGACATGTACAAATGAAACAAATGGCCCCGAAAAAAGATGAATCAACGTCTTCCTTTGCTGTACAAGGAGGCTGTGCCTCCACTTCCATGTCATGTGTTCGGAGTGTTCCCCTTTTGATTCGACCGGTCGCATCCCTCCGAGGTGGGCCAGTGGTCACTTCGTTGAACGTGCCTTGGGCCGGTGTTGGAAGCTCTAGAGTCAGCTGGAGGATCAGAATGACGCAACATATGGCACATCTCTCATGTGACGTGACTCATGTGATGCACATCATTGCAGAATATTGCCTCTTGCAAAACTTGTTGCACTACCATCCGCCCATAGGGGCAGCAGCTGGCAGATCATCCCCTGCTCCCAATTGCTCCCATCAAGGAGTTGATGTATGGCTATGAGAACATGGACAAAACCTTTTCGCAAATCGAACCGCATCTCAAGCTGCTCTCTTTGGTTGCTTCAAGCTGGCAACCCTTTGTTTCTCGGCCGTTACAGTGGTTTTGTTCAATCGGCAGAGGGGCACGGGTTGGCTTTCTTTCAATGCAACTCTCCACTCTGCTCCCACGGGATGTGGGTCCCCCAAGATCAGAGAGGGGAGTGGGCAGAGTAAACGTTTGGATGTGTTCATTTTCTTCTTCTGTATATACTCTAGTATACTCTATTTTCTGTATATACTAGTATACTCTATAGTGCATTTGCGTTACTGTATGCTTGTGTTTTTGGCGGAGTATTTCTGACAGTTTTTATATTTCAATAAACACTTGGCAATGGTTGCTGCTTGAACGCATGCCAATCAAATTCAACGCAACATCACCCGAAACCGATGAACCAGCTAGAGGGAGAAGCTAGGCGTCAAAGCCGCAAAGCCACAAGACAATGCTGAGACAAGACTGGAATGGCTGGGAACTACCAGCACAATACATGAATCATCATGAATCCATCGTGTCAACTATCCGTGTTCGGGACCTTTGGCCAGAGGGAGCAGGCAAATCGGAGGTGCTTTGAGATTTGCGGTCGTGCGGAGCTGCCCAGAGGTTGTGATGACAAGCATGGAGGACAAGTTAAACATAGTTAAACAAGGTTGTGTTTGATGCATTGAGCTGGATCCATTTGAGGAAGCACTTAGGAGCGTCGGGATCTTCGCTCTTGTGAACTGAGGATCTGTACAGCAAGGTCACCACTGTTCCTTGACACACTTCGCCGGACCTGGGGGAGACCGGGGGGCCGAACTGGATGCCCGATCGCAGGCCGCGCGGGGCGTGGTGCGATCGGGGCAGACGGTCGTCGGGTCGGATCACGGCACCGGCGAACTCCAAGCCGATCTGGATGGGCGATGGGAGCGAGGAGTCCAAGGTGGATGGAGAAGTGCATTGGTTGGCCTGAAAATGCCGGAAACCAATTTGTGCTGAATACATTCTGGTCATTTGGTCTTTTTTTGAGAGGTTGGTGGGGGTGCCTTGGCCATGACCAAATGTGCCAGTTCGAGGACACTTGTGGGACAGATATAGACTCTGGCTGCAGATCAGCCACACCTTCATGACCTGACTCCTCCAGACAGCTTCAGGTCTTGGGGTCTTCGTGCCTCTTCAGCGGTTTGGCCTACTACTCCATGCTGCTGGGTTCCAAACGATTTAGTGAGAGGCAGGGTTCCAGGCCCTCGGCGACTCGCGTTTGGAGCCTCGTGGACTGCAGCGATGTTGCAAAGTTGGAGAGTTCCAGGACACGAAGACCAGAACACTCCCATAAGAGGTCTCGATGTGCCCACGCCGTCAAATTGGTCGAATGCTGTCCCTCGCTCCTAAACAAACACCTCTTGCGGTGGACGTGACCCTCCTGCGCTGGCTTGGGAACTGGAACATGGACACAAAATACGCGTTGTTAGCTTTCTCCAGGGCCACACGGCCGTGTTTTGACTTTCGCTTCTCGCCCCCGTCAGGCGAAAAAAAGAACTGTCACACTGTCACACTCACGTCCGACTCGTTCTCACCGCCGAACGTTGGGACGAGACGAACACGACCGACGACCTCCGCACCTCCGTGGACGAAACCGCACGACTCGACGACGACGTTGGGCTGAGATTCTACTACAAGCCCTCCGGCACCAGCGAGGTCACGCCGGAGGCGAGTGGGCCGATGTGGGCGGAGGTGTAGAGTCGACGCGCGACGAGCGGAAGCGTAGAGGCGACTCTTGAGCATCATAAACTCATAAACCCCGCTATATGAAGAAGATGTCCAATTCAGGAGGGATTATTAGTCAAGAGACAATATAACATTGATTTTGGTTGGACTTGGAAGTGACCAAAGAACCACCCCCGCCCCGGCGTTACAAAAGAACTTGCTGCAACGAGGCACTGGTAGTGCGAGGTATAGAAGTCTTCACAGTTCTTTGCAGGTCAGATAAGCTGGTGTGAAATAGAAGTAACATGAAGTAATGACTGTGAGTACAAGGTGTTTGAAGTTTTCTCTTTGTGGATCTTTGTGGTGTTCTGCCTGTGAGCTGGAGGTAGCAAGCTGCTCCAGGTTGATCGTTCACAGCAGCGACACATGCGAGGAACTTGCCATTTTGAGGTCCACTCGACTTTTGAGCGGACCCTGGAGGGCCTTGCACAGAGAGTTCGATCGTTGGGTCAATGCCATTCACCAATTCTGGTCATTCTGGTCTTCTTTGGGAGATGGGAGGACCGAAGTATTCCAGAGGATCCAAAACAGCAGGGTCATGACATGCAAGCAGCTGCAAGTATTCATTCCCACCTTTAGCGGAGACTTGCTGTCATGGGTCTGATTGGGTGATCATGGTGATTCGGTGATCCTCGCCTCCTTTTTTTTTAGAGGCTTGGTGCTGCTTCCTTTTTATGTGTACATTGGCCTGGTGGAACTTGACCATCGAGATTGCAGGAGCCACGGAGCTCTTGGGCGGGCTCTTGGGCGGGCTGGGTGACCGTGTTGATTTTCTGCCTGCAACATGTCTTCCAGTTCTCGGATCTGGAATGGCCCAAGAATGAACCAACCATAATCAACCCCCGCATAAAAACTTGGAAACTGAAGTGGAAGCCCCCTCCAAAGTTGGGGGGGAAATGGTTGAGTTTGGTGATGTGAGTCCGGTGAGCCTTTGAGTTGGTTTGTGTGAGCCTTCGGGCATCATGTTCCTTGTTTCTCGAGATTCTGTGGAGTCAATCCATACAAAGAAGAATGCTTCATAAGCAATCCAACACTTTAATGCCCTAGACGACATCCCTAGCCCATTTCTTGGATCTATGTATACTATATGTGTCTCTTTTTGTCACGAAAGCTAGCATCATTTTACTGATGGCCGGAATTGCCTACCGCGTAGTATTCTGCAAGAGGACAGGGAGTCATGAACAGGTTCCCTTGGGCATTTGAACCGCCAATAGCGCCACGTTGAAGCTTCTGGTGCGAGGAAGCTCCTTTGATTTGGCGCTGGCCGCAATTTTCATGATGGTGGGGCCCTTTGTTTGGATCCTTGGTGTTGTGAATAGCCCCCCGAAGGAGTGGTGGAGGATTTTTGCGAGGGCGGGCTTCGAGGCTTCATAGATTGAACTTGAGAATTGGCTAAAAACAGAAGCATCTGGGATGACTTTGGTGTCTCTATTCGGGAGCCAAGTGTGCTTTTGTCTTGCTGAAGTAGATCGCAGATGAGGTGAGATCGTCAGATAGTTCAGATGTGACGGCGAACGCACTTCGAAAAACCCTGTGGGTTTGAGGCGAATGCCCAGATGGATGGTTGTCCATAATATTCTGGCTCCCCGTCGCCCCGTATGGTTGTTTATATGGTTGTTTGAAGGCACAGAACCATCTCTCTTTGCAGCCATGGCTACAAAGCAAAAAGACCAGATGGACAACCATGTACGCCTCCCGAATGCTGATTGCAATAGCAGAGGGTACAGAACCCATGTGTTTATTGTTGTTTCATGACCAACACCGGGACAACTGGGCGCCGACCTGCGGGTCGCCCACGTTTGAGGTGAGTTGAACAGCTTGAAGCTCCTGGCCTTACTAACTATAGGAGCAAGGACGCTACAAACGGGGATCCTGGCATCGCTACTAGGAGCATGCTTACTACGAACGTAACAAGAAGCTACTAGAAACAAGTGCATCGCTACTAGTAACAAGTGCCTTACTAGTAGTAACAAGAAGCTACGAACGAAACTCGGGTTCGGACACCGACCTGCCGGGATTTTCTCCTTCGCTCCGTTCGAGTCGCGTCCGAACGCTCGGTTCGTAGCGATGCCAGGAGCCCCGTTCGTAGCGTCCGAAGGCTCCTGTAGTACAAGATACTTTGGTGTGTGTACTCGGCTCCCCAAATAGACAACTCATTGAACGACAGACCTCGGGACGATTGTCCCTTGGCAGACCAATTCACTGCCCTGGCCATGTGTGGTGACTATGGCTACAACTCATTCAGCAGCTTTTCTTGGCAGTCATGCTGCAATGTTCCAATGTTTTTCCAGGTGCACGAAATGGTCCGCGTTTGGTTGTCCGCGTTCGTGTATGTCGTCCTATGAAACATCCCCACAAAAGGTCTTCCGGTCTTCCTGGACGTTCACGAGCCGTGCTGCTCAGGATGTTCACGGACAAGCCGTCGCTCACCGACAACCGGATGCAGATGTTCGGCTGTCCTTTGCTGATCTTCTTACCGGCAGCGGGGTCTGGACACCGGCGGGGGGTCAAAACCAAAGACTTCAGATGGGTTGAACCAGGGGTGTGGGTTGTACCTGGACATCAATAACAGAATGGGTTGGGTTGAACATGTCCAGGGGAGTCTTTCCAGTTCTGTTCGTTTGGGCGAGTCTTCCCAGTTTGGGGTTGCTATGCCCCGCACCCATGTTGCACGGCCAGGACCAAAGCTGGGCTTGGAAGAAACTCCACAGTATATCGCTATGACCCTTGACCCCAATCCTGAAGAGAGCTGTGTCCCCTGGTCCAATGTCCTTTTGCCAAGGGATGTTACTTACTGACAATTGAGCAGCGTTCAAAACCTGAATGCAAGAACCACATGATCCGATTAAACTGCAAGACTGTCGCGTAAGCTAAAGTCTGCACGGCGTAAGGGTTGCGTAAGGTTCGGTGGAAGCCAAGCTTGGGACACTCGATGCGTAAGAGGTGCGTAAGCAATTTTGAGTCTTCTAGTTACACAGCCAATATACTTTTTTTTTGCTGAGAAACACTGCAAGCAGAAAAGGGTTGTGGACTCAATCTCTCAAAGGCCCTGTTTGCAGGGGTCGAGTGGCCCACGACCACACGAATTCCGCGTAAGCCCCGCGTAAGCCGATTCGTAAGGTTTGCGTAGGCGAACTTCTCAGATGAAGCCCTTTGCTCACGTGCACCAAAGGTTTTTTCTAAAGAAACCAAAGCAAGCAGCTGAGCACTTTTCAAGCACAAAGCGCACTGTGACCCTCGCTCCAACTGCTTGGTCCCCATGGCTGACAAAAACAAGCAGCGGGCTCCACCAAGTGAATCATACAAGCAAAGTGTAAATTACTTTTACTTCGAGTGATCCCGGGAGTGCCCACTGCGATCTGGAGCTTGCGGTTGAGGCCCGGGAGTGCCCACCGCTATTTGGCGCATGCTGTTGGAGTCCGGGATTCCCCACTGTGATCTGGCGCTTGCTCTAGTGAAGCGGGGCAGAGGAGAAGGAGAGGGATCATCTTCTAAAATCTACTGTAACCACCCTCACCTGACAGGTTGGGAACAAAGAGTGTTCACCGCTCTGGTGCCAAAACGCCGGCAACAAAAACCGCCGCGTAAGAAACGCGTAAGCCCTAAGAGAAACAACATCACCGCGTAAGCGAAAACATTGGTAGCGTAAGCGTTGCGGAAGCCGACGCGTAAGCAGAGAAGGATTATAAGGCCAAGACTAAAGGGTTTCGACCACCGCTCAATTGACTCATGCAAAAACTCCACCTGCCGTGCATTCTCTAATTACTGTATATAATCAGATCAGCGGCTGACCAACATAGATGAAACTAGTTTGGGGAGCAAGCATCGACTCTGACTGTTCCTGCTATTTGTACTTCGTGTCGTATGACATCTACTTGAAGTGCGGATTTCATGGGAATTTCATGGGGGATGTGGAAACTTCCCCTTAGGATACGAACAGCTTCCCTAGCTGCCTGCAAGCAGGCTGTTTGGATCTCCTATTTGGGTATTCGGGCCTGCACCATTGCAGGGGATGCTGGGCTCGAAGGGGCTGGGCAGCTGGGGAGGATATGATCCATTGAGTGCATCCGACAAGAGTCACCACGTGGTCTGAGGTTGCGGCGATCAAATGGGGTCACCTCCTTTGTGACCGGCTATGCCGGCGCATTCGGGTTCGGTATTCTTTTTCTGTGCATAGTTGGACCTGTTTCTTTGCTGCTCTTCTGAATATTCTTTGTGGAGATTGCCCAGAGGAGTCCTTTTCTATCCTTTTCTGATGGCATGCAACATACCTACTAACTGTCACCCTACCTCACATACCCATACCTGGGTGTTGAGCGCGCAGATTGTGCGATCGGGGGTCAAATAAGGTTTTCCTATGATTTGGTTGATGATTTCCAACATGCTCCAACTGAGTCAGTTCTGTTATTCATTTGGATAGCTGGCAGGTGTATTCTGTGCTTTTGGAGTACCGTGTGTCAGGAAGATATACTTACTACCTCTAGTCCCGCAACGAACATCGGTGCAGAGACTGGAGCACCCCAACATGGCGTGCTATTCACCCAAAATATCGGCGATTCACCGGAAAGATGCCTGGCCAGACTAACTGAGTGTTGATTGTCGGTCCTGGAGTCCTACAGGTGTTCACTCTTTTCCCAACAGTCTGGCCCCACCCTCCATCTCCCCCCCGGGTCTCCGCTACCTGTCAGTCGAAGTAGCACCTCCTGTCAGGAGTTTTTGCATTTCTTATCATTTCTTGAATTGTTGGCACTGACAAGCTTTATTTTAGTGTTCCCCGGCCTCAACCAGCCTTGACTTGTGCCTGCAGCATGGCAATCTTGACACTTTGTACAGATCGTAGGATTTGCCCGTAGACAGTAAGGAAGGAACTTTTGCGTAACTACGACCACCGGCCATCCTTGGGCCGGCGTTTGCTCCCAAACCATCCCAAACTGAACCCCTAACTCCCAAACAAATCGATACATCCGCCGTCCGTTGCCTCCAGACTCCCGTTCCGAAGCCGTCGTGTGTCCTGGACTGTCCTTTGGCCTCCCTCCCAACAAGGTTTGGCCTCACTTCTTCACCAGCACGCGCTACTTGAACGTGCTGCACAAGCAGAAAGGTCCCATCGAGATCCCCCGAGACATCGCCCGAAAGGCGGGCGTTGGCCGGCGGCGGCGGTCGACGCCCCCGGCGAACGGCGGCGATGGGGCATCGGTTTCCATGGAAGGCCCGAAAGGGATCCATAATGATCCATAGATAGGACTGGCGTGGGGTGGGGGGATCAGGAATCTCAAAAGAAGGCGGGGGGGGCCGCCAATTCATGGCATGTGCACGACATGCGGTGTAAAGCCTGTGACCGATGGTCGTCCCATCGGGCAATGGTCGTCCATCCTGCCATGCAAGGAATATCGATCCCCATGGTCATTCATGGCAAGTGTCCCGTTCGAATAACTCTCCGATATCCGATATCAGAATCCCCGGTACCATCGGTACCGGGCCACAAGCATCCGATCACCCGTCTCAGACCTTTCTCACATCTTGGCTGATCTCGGGGAGGGCGAATCTGGTGATTTCATGTCGATTTCCGAGATCTCGCATGATCTCTATCAATCGAGCCGTGTGACATGACGGGGAGCCATGATCTCTATTAATCGAGATCTGCTGATTTCATCTTGCCATGACGGGGAGCTCAACGCTCTGACTCTATCGGCCGACTCTATTCCCTCTGATTCAGTCCAGGCGAAAGGGGAAGACAACTGGTCCATGGACGACAACGCCAGCACAGACTCCGGGGAAATTGAGGCACTCCGACGAGCGAGGTGCTCAATAAACCAGCACCTGTCGAAAGCGTTGGGCTGATAATAATAATTAGACTTCGGATCGGTTTCATGATGGTTTCGGTCTTTTCAGCAAGAAATGGCCACCGCAACGAACTGAGAAAACCCAAGAAGCTTTTCCAAAACTGCCCACGTTTTGTTCGAGCTTCGTTGGCGAAACCATTGCCCTTTTCGAGCGTTCTTGTTCGCGGCAGTCGAACGCGGGCCCGGACCGTACGTTGGCCCGGGCCGGGGCCCGGGGCCCGTCGCCAGGACGTGAACCGGGCCATGGCAATGGCACAACCCTTGGTGGATGCATTGAGTTGCCTGGGACGAAAGAGAGGGTCGGATTGATATGGGTTGATGGTCGTTTCGAGAGAATGGGCTAGCGCCCTAATGCCGAAAAAAGCCGACCCCCCCTTTTTTGGCTGGGGAAGCTCAGCTGAGCGCTCAGCTGGTCCGTTGGCCGCCGACTCTTTCATCATGCTCTCCACCTAGATTTCAGGCAACTTGTTCATACTTTGCGCATTACTACTATACTAGGACCCAGAAGGGGTGGTTAATGGCAATGGACACCCCTTAACCTCTAAGGGGGGTGTCCTGGTATAGATTGAAGGTTGCGAAAAGGGGAGTGGCTGAACAAAGACGTTTTCGTTTTTTCAACCCAGGGCAGCTCCTGGCTGGGAGGGAGCTCATTACACCCCCGGCTGTGCTGCGTTGGCAAGACAACACGCCGTCGCTCGTGGTCTCTTGGCGCTCAAGATTCGCCGCAGCTGAGCGGCCTAAGCACATTGATGCGAACGACGTGAACATATAAAAAAGTACGCAGCAAGCGACTTTGGCTGGTCAGATCGCTGGCCGGTTTTCATCGTTGCTTGCCTCCTTGAACCTCACTTGGAGCCAGCTGGGGGAAGGGGCCGCCCCAGGCCGATTGATCAATTTGCAAGCCGGGTTGAAGGTACGTGCACCTCACATCGATCGGACCTGGAAAGATCCGGTCGCGATCTCTGACCTGGACGACACCGTTGTGCGTTGAGCAACCATTCTTTTGGGTTTTTGACTTCGGATTTTATCGATTTTTCCAGGTTCCCAAACCCCCCCAAAATACGATTTAGTTATAGTTATAGTTTTTTTTTCTGTAGCAGGCTCCTGGACGGCAAGCCCTTCAGGTTGCATCGCCTTGCAGCCTCAGAGCTCGGCCAGTCGGCAAACCGTCAGCCAGGACCCGGGAGTTGATGGCGCGCGGAGCTGTGAGTTGACGGCCAGGGTGGATAACTCTTTTGATGCCTTGTTAGGCCCTAGGTTTATATTCTTGTTGAACATCAGAATCAGTTGGGTGAAGGCAGGTGGTCAATGATGGTCAAGTGGGGACTCGTTCAACACCGATTCAAAAATTGGCGAAGTGGCTTGTGAGTGGTGCTTTGTCGGTGCTTCTTACACATGGCCAGGCTCGCGATACTTTGCGAGAAGCTGCCCGTGGCTTGTCATGTTTCAACCCCGTCGTCCAAAAGATGACCGCATATTTTGGTATGCTTTCCGTCTAAATCAGATTAAATCAGAAGACTTCGGACCAAGTCAAGATGTGGCACGATCATCTTGTCATAAGAGAAGGATCTGCAGGGTCGAACACCCCTCATCACCCCTCCTACGGATGCTCGACTCCGCGCTTGCCGAAACCTCCGGGCAGATGGTCCAACGTTTTTCTTTATTTTTAACCACCACAAAAATGCCTCCTGAGGTGCAGCCGGAGTTTCCCGGAGCACGGTACTCTTGAAGGGATTCTTCATTCACTTGGAGATGAACGGGGACCAGGCTGGATGCGCATTCTGTGCCCCCGTGGACCGTGGGTTGGCCCAAATTCGGAGCTTCGAAGGATGGATCGGTTCCGGCGGAAGGTATTACAATCAAACATCTGCATGACCGGACCGGAGTTTGATGCCTCGGCACAAATGGCCAATGTGTGTTGTTTGCTTCAAACTTGAGGACCCAATAAAAGCAAGCCGATCCGAAGAACCTTCGTGAACCTTGTGATATTTGGTGATTGCATCCAGAAGAGAAGTCACGAACAACAAATTAATCCGTCAAGAACTCTCCAGAAAAATATCGATCTCTGTTTTGATTGCAAAGGATACCCGACCTCATTTATAGACCTTGAGGCTGCCACAAAACACTACTGACACATCTTTATTCTTTATAGAAGTCCCCACTGAGACACTGTCATTGTGAAATAAAGGCCTTCAATTTAGAGAGAGGGGTCACAGCCCTCAGAACCCGATTAAATGGCAGCACGGGCAGCATGTGTCGTTTTTGCGGGCTTGCATCCAAATGGGAAGAGAACAGGAAAATACATCGCAGATCATCGCAGTATATATTATTGCCTCTCCCCCAGAAACTCGTATATACTCACAATATATTTCATGTTCACAATCAGATCATATCAGAACACACACACAGCCAAACAGAACACCCCTAATTCCTCCCAGACCAGCTCATAAAATTAGGCTTCAACCCACAGTATACCCTGGGCGCACTGTGCTCGCCCCTCTACGCGCGTCGGTTTTCCGGGTGAGGAGGAAGAGGTCCATTGGGTCGACCCCTGTGGCATCTCCTCTGAGCCGCGGTCCAAGCGGGAGGTGGGACATGGTCGTCCCGGGAAGAGATGGTCCCGGGCCGAAGGAACAGGTCTCCGGGGTCGGCCCACAACCTGCTCTGCTCTGCTCGGATCTGTGCCACACTGGATGAGCGAAAAACCTTCGCGAAACAACGTGCTTTTTCTTCCGCTTCTTAACGCCGACCGGTTAGCAGAACCTGTCACCGACGAAGTCCTTCGCCACGAAGCTGTTGCATAGCTACAGGGGGCCAAGGCACGGAGCTGGGAGTTCCCCAACCCCTTGCTCCAGACTCTACACATGCAAATCCACATCTCTTTTGCAGGACTTTGCAAAGCCTATAGCTTTCTCATGACGTTTCTCATGGCATAGCCCGTCAAAACCCTCCGCGTTGAAGCAGCCTTCGCGCGGCCACCGAGGCCGGAGCACCTCACGGCCGGGGAGCCACAAACGTGACTCGTGACTCGTGACTCGTGACGTCCACGTGATGGTCGGTCTGATCACTGGAGGCCACCGCATCTTTTTGGGGTCATAGAGCATAGCATAGCTGAAGCTTTGGTCCTATAGTTAAGGCACCCCCTTTTTTCCACTGCGGATGGAATAGGATTGGTTGCGTTGCAGGGACTTATCCCAAGGTGATTCGGAGAACGCCCCCGGGTGTCATTGCGGTCACTCCGGTGAAACTGCGGTGGGTCGATCATGGTGATGTCGATCATGGACGGGGAACTAAGTTGGTTGATGTCTGAAACGCAAGGCTTGGGAGTATGAGGTTTTGATGTATTGGCCGGAAGAACTCTGAAAGTGCCTATAAAGAATCATGTGCCCCCAACTGACATCAACTCTCATTGCTTTGGGGATTTTACCCGAAGCAATTTCGGTACACAGACCTGCTTTATCCTGCTTTTGAGGAATATCACACAATATAACTACTTCCAACATCCTCAAATCTGTTCTGTGACACCCAGGTCGAGTTTTTGGACCTCAGATCCCACTCTTCGGTTCCAGGCGCCGGACACCGTGAGCTTGGTGGAGATCATCGAAACCTCCAACCAGGTGGCGAGCACCACGGCCGGCGGGACGACGAACTCCGGCTCAGCCTGGGGGGTTCAACGATGGGGTCCAGTGAGCAGCAAAATACTAACTTAAAAGGTCCTAGTAGCTTCTTGTTACTACTAGTAAGGCACTTGTTACTAGTAGCGATGCACTTGTTCCTAGTAGCTTATTGTTTCTACAAGTTGTTTTTTGTTTTTTTCGTGAGTGTTCGTTTCATGAAAAGCATGGTTTGGACATGCCCCATTTGTGCTCAGCTCTGGCTCCGGCGCCGGGAAGAGTGACCACCACCTCACCGTACTTCACCATGGACCGGTGCGACCTGTTGGGGGGGCGAAGGAAGGAGTCGACCTTCGTGGTCGCGCCCGAAACGAAGGAACGGCTGGCCGGGTTGCTTCAGCTGTTGTTTTGGGGCCAATGAACAGCACACCACCTGGAGCCTGGTGAATGGGTGAATGGATCGGGTCCATGTGCTTGCTTCGCAAACAGAAACCCAGCTTTGTTTCCCCCATGTGCTCCTGCTTCGTTCCGGTCGAGAGACCGGTCGTGCTTGCGGCTTCGTTCCTTGCTTCGCTTCGTTCCTTGCTTCGCTTCGTTCCGGCACGTCCGGCCGCTGACCCGCTCAGGTGGCCGACATGCTGTTGTCTCATGCGGTGCGGTGGACCGTTGGGGTCCCGAGACGGAGCGTTGAGGAGGAGCGTTGAGGACCGAGGACCGAGACGCAGACATGCATGGGTACATCATGTGACATCCAGGGGTTTGATTCTGTGTCAACACGATCATATCTCTCAGCTCTCTAACAATGAGTGTGCTAGCTGCTAGCGGTTTCATGATTCTTCCATTGAACGTGAGAGCAGGTATAGTCGGTATAGTAGTTTTCATGTTCACATGTTTTCATAGACCGAATCCGAATCCCCATAGAATTCCTCGGTCCACCGTGTTCATCGGCTCACATACTGAAGGGTGCGTTTCCCACAAGACATATCCTCCTGCAGATTGACATGGACCCTGAAAACCACTGGGTGGTAGATGAGAATGGTCTTAACATGTATATTACCCCTGCAAAATGGTAATTACCCCTGAAAAAACCACTGGGTCTGATGAACATGGACCCTGAAAATCCAGTGCAGTTCATTTTCGGTCCCGGTTAGTCACCGCAGGGGTACCATCTTCGTGTCACCGAAGAGCCACCCAGCTCGACAGGTGGACGATATGGTGAACTTAGCCTCCTATGGAGGCAGCAATCGTCAACGGCAGCCAATCTGAAGTCATCCGTGTGATCTCGTGTGCATCTTCGTGTGCTTTGTTGGGCTGGCAGATCCTTGGTGTTTCTTGCCGTGGCCTGAAGTTCAGTGGACAGATGCAGATTGCACATCAGATGCGAATCATGCAAGCAAACGGCCCTATTGGACGAGTCTTTTTTTTTGGTCTTACAGTTCTCGAAATGCCTTCCCCTTCGAGCTGGTCCGCGCACACTCCACGCGGCCGGGTTTCGTGCTGCTTTGCAGGTGAGCCTGTGGCAGGTGTTCACAGCTTCCTGTTTCAGTTCGAGAACACGCTGGAGACCCTTTTTTTCAGCGTTGGCCACCGGGCCACTTCGGTCCAGTCTGATCCGAATGGCTCCAGTCCTGATTCTATCAGGATTCAGGAATCTATTGTGATTTGGTATTTCATATTCTCAGCATGTGATAAAAAATCATGATTCGATGTTTAACTTCAGGATTGCTTTTCGTGATTCTACGTTGCAGTGTAGAATCCAAAGACCAGTGTCCATTGTTTGGGCATGCATCAGGGCTCCGTAGAAAGATCAGTACCTTTGATTAATATATGTAACTTTAGCAATCCGGGATCGTTCTTCCATTCTTCATGGAGGGAGCGGATTTATTTCCAACATCCCTTTTACCCACGGAGCCTATCAGAGCCCCACAATTTGGTCACGGAGCTACCAATGCAGTTCCCACCATCCACTCCCACCATGTGGTGGACTTCACCTACTTCCTCCCTTTCCCGTGCACGCTTCGCCGCTCGTCGCGCCACCGCCCTCGACCGCCCTTCGGAACCCGCCCGTTCCCCGTCGCCTCGGTTTCCCCTCACGTCGTCGCCTCGCCTCGGCCGGCAGGAGAAGTCCACCCACTTCCGACCGTCGGCGGACTATCTGTTCAAGGTCGCCATGGCGCCCCGGAGATCGTCACCGCACAGCGAGGTCCCGCGCAGCGCGTTCTCGCACGAGGTCCCGCGGGTCCCGCGCTGGGCGCGACCGACCGCGAGCGCCATGGTGCGGAGATGTGAATCACTGTGACTCCAGGGTACTGGAGAACAAGCGCCGTCGCATTGTGCTCCGGTCCTGGCCGTTTACCATCGCACGAAACGGTCACAGCGTCGATTCGACTTCAGGGAGATCACTTCCAGAAGGGTATGATTTGCAGTTCCCTCGAAGGTCAAAGGAGTGTCCAAAGGCGAAACAAACACTTTTCCATGTTTTCCTTAGGAAGGTGAACAAGGAAAGGAAGTTCCATGAATTAGATTTCTTTGAGTCTCAGGGTTCCAGGGTGTTTGTTTTTTGGGGAACTTTGCAAGGTTTCTGGCAGCTGGGTTTGGTGTGAGAATCGCATCACTCAAGGTTCTGCACCTGCCTAGACCTGCCCATGACCTGGTGGTCCAATCCTGCCTATAGATCGAAGAGTGAACCGATGCCCAAATATGGTTTCTGCAAGAGTTGACAGGGACAGAACTGCCAGTTCTGATCATTTCCTTTTGCCTGTAAGTTATTTCAAGTCTTTGTCCATAACCCTAGAGCTCCTAATCTTGAGTGCCTGGTCCCTGGAAGTACAGAGCACAAGCTCGATCTCATGCCGTGTTATGCCAGGCTATTTCTCTTCCCACGAAGATCAAACAAATCATGAACATCACACTCCACTGCCGCCCTTCCAAGCTGCTCTGGAACATCCGCCTTTCCATCCATCCCTAAATAAAGATCTATATAGGAGCCAAGTCATTGGTGTGAGTGCTCCTTCAGGGAAGCTCCCCCGCCCTCAGGTGGGGGCAGCTTCCTTGAAGGAGTGTGAGCTATCCTGTGTCCGTACTAGAAGCGTCCTAGTAGCTAGGAGCGAACAAGTTTGCCCTTACTTAATTAGTCCTATTCCCTACGGGCTTCGAAGAAGACCTCCACCCCGTCCCTCGTCCCTCCAAGGCGTTGGTCTCCATCTTCTGGATCTTGGCCGCTCGGAGAGACCAGTTTTCGCCACGCGAACCGTCGCGTTTCCGCACCGTCGTGGGGAGAGGGGGGACACTCCGTTTTTTTGCAACTCTGCGGAATTTTCGGGGGGACACACACTTCGAACACCCCGCAGTGGAAATGAGTATAAAAAAATTCGAACAGGATGTCCCGCTTCCCAAACTTCTAGACTTCTAGACTTCACAGACTTCGGATGCAGTGAGAATGGGTCTTCTCAGTAGCTGGTAGCTTCGACCGTTGGCTTTGGACATCCATTGCTTGACACTAATGGTCCGATGGTTGACACCAGTATATTAGGTTGGGTGTATGACTATATGTGATAATATTGTGACTGTAATATGTGACTATATACTGTAACTTAAGTCGAAGTTGTAGACCAGCTCAAAAGGTTGTTTCACCTCGCAGCTCTTCCTGTTCGAGTCGCCCAATTCTGGGGACGGGCTGCTGGGATGATCAGTCCGGCCAGTCTCCTTGATTCCTGACCGTAGGAATTCCTCTTTTCTAACCTATTCAATGAGCACTATGCTGGTCATATACTTCCAGCATCTGGAGACCGTACTTCCTACTTCGCTCCACAAAGCGACGATTCTCCGATAGCACCGGTACCGAGCTGTGCAGCTCGGGAGGGGCAGACTCGACACCCGACGTGGCGACCTGGGCGACCCATCGACGGTCTCACCTGCCGCCAGTGTCAAGGTGTATCAGGGGAGTAGCTATAGAAGCTACTGTAGTAGGTTGGAGGCCATCGCTACAAGTAGCAAGAAGCTACTAGTAGCAAGGCACCTTAAGTACTACTAGGAACAAGAAGCCAGAGAAGGCGCCCCAAACACCCGGCGAGACTTCGTCATAGGCTGTCGATTTCACTGTGGCGGCTGTGGCCAGGGGGTCCTTTTGCACAGCCCACCGACTGAGTGACTGGGTCAAGTGACAACGCTGTCCTAGCTTCAGCTCCCACCTAGGTCCTTTGCTGGTCTCTCCGCTTCAGCACTAACGTCTTCAGTAGGCGCACAGAGCCGAAAGCACGAGCCGAGACGGTGTGTGGAAAGCAGTTTCCCTCCGGACGGTTCTGGTCCAGGGTTGGATGAACCATCAACAATCAATCCGACAATAACTCGCGTGTTTCGTATTGGACTTTATCTCGGTCGCTCCTCACCAGGCAGTATGGAGACCGCAGACTACTGAAGATCATTTTTCTGCATAAAGAAACGTTTTTCCCCCAAATGAACAGAACCGACCGCCACTCAGATCTTTTTGTGAGATGTGTTTATTTTGACCATTGTTGACCCAACGCATGCATGCCTTTTCCAATGTTTTTCATTTGTTCTTCAAAGTTCGTGGCCAGGATATCCTTACAAGGAGGGGACATGGTGAGCTGGACCATGCCACAACCGTGGGAGACTCAGTGTGGCTGTCCGCGGGCTGGACCATGCCACACCCTTTGGATCATTGAAGTGCAGTTGGCCACAAAGATGTGGGTCCTGCGAGTGTGGGAGTACAGAAGTTTCATATGGTTTCATGGGGGTTCTATTTCAAACATTTTGAGAATTGACCTCAAAGTAAGCTCAGATTCTGATGAGACTCTCCTATATGTCCTCAACCCTGGTGGTTTATTCCATTTTGATGGTCGCTCATGCCATCTCTGAAACCCACAAAAAGAGCCTGCCAAAGAGCCTGACCGGTTGGCTGCGCAGCAAGACATCACAGAAAAGTCAGGTGGCGCATGGTGGAATCCTTTGGCTGCACGCTGGAAGGACTTTTTTCGTGAAAAAAATCGGGCTGGGAGTTCCAAGGATAGTTAGTTCATCTTCTCTTTCGCAATAGTGAATCTTGGGGGACACTTGCATAATTTTGCCAAAGACAAGAATTCCGGTCATGGAACATCAATATTGGCGCCGCTAGACTCACTCAATTGGCAGGAATCCCAAGCCATATCACAAAAGCAATCTTCAGTAAAGATGAGTTTCACAAGACTTGACTTTAAGCACTTTGTCCCTCCAAGGCTACAGGTATCCTGATGTCCGCGAACGATTTCATGATTGATTCACATATAGATTCTTCACTGCCCATGTTGTTGGGCCGTGTTGAGTGTCGAGCTTCGCAGCTGGCGCTGTCATTGGTTGATCTTCCTTCGTGTTCAGCATTTGTCGATGTCCATGAGTCCTTCGTTTTCAGCAGGAACTCACTATGTCATGACTGATGGCTATACCGTCCAGGTCCTCAACTCCGTACACTTGGCGCCAACGGGCTGGTGGAAACGGGTCGTCCATGTGTGTCCCCACCGAGCGGCCTGTCGGGGTGCCATCATGCACTTCCCAACATCTTCCAACTTGAGTTTGGAGAGTAATTAGAAGATATTAGAAGTTGGAAGATCCAGGACTTACCCTCCCTGCAACAATCATGGAAGTGGACAACCCCCTCTTGGTAGAGGAAAGTCATCTTCCAAGGGGCCACTGCCCATTTCCATGATTGTTTCAGGGAGTGTAGAGTAATTAGAAGTCCTAATTAGGAACTCCAGTAACTAAACTAAACTTGGTGCACTCCTGGCAGCCAGCAGTTGCACATCATGGCTGAAGTACCTTTCCTAGTCTCTCAGCCTGTGTAGAAGCACGGCAAAACGGTGGAGGTCATCCACATCCACAGTATTTCCGAAATGGATCTTTGCTCATCATCCACTCTCAGAGCAACTTCCCCCTCGTACGATCGCGGCACTGGGTCAAAGGGGACGGTCAACCCCACGCAACCCCACGAAACAGGTCAACCATAGTCAACCACACCCATGCACTAATAATATACACTAATAATATATATAACATAAATATATACACAACATGAATTGCATGATATAACAATTAAATACCTGGACCCTGAAACATAGTCTTTGTTCAGTCTCGCCGGAAAACATGACGCAGAAAAATGCAGCAAGATAGAAAACATGCCGCCAAAATGATGCGGAAGTGACAAACATCAACGCAGAAGTAACATGAAGTAACAAAAATCGACACCAAATCTGCTTGTTGTGTTGTTTTTTGAGCTTTACCTGAAAATTGCCCCCCACTGGAAAAAAGTCTTTTGCGGGGTCTAGGTCGGTCTAGGTACTGTATATACAATACGAGTAATAGTAATAACGATAGTTGTTCTTTTGCTTTTTCAGTTTGGCTAGGGTGGGAAGGAGGTTGTTCCAGTGGCCGCAAGAAGATCGATGTCCACCGAGCATTTTTTCGGAAGATCCGAGCCGCTGGTCCCGGTCCCAAGAGGTGCTGTAGTTGCTACAGCTCAGGATGGTTCCCTGTACTTGCACTTCCAAGCCTGTGGTGATCAACGTGTGAGTGCTGTGGACTTCGGCCAGGGTGGGGAGATCATCGCCTGCTGCGAGTGGCCCCACTGCGCTTGGCACGCCTTGAGTTGCGAACACGAATGAATTCCCAAGCGGAAAAGGTATAAACGAATACTATACGTAATACAATCAGCATCTATCAGCATTTGTCTGATTCTCGGCTGTGTGTTGAGTAAAGGGAGGTCCATTTTGGGAGAATCACCCGTATATGTTTTCAGCTCCAAAGGTTTCAGAGCAGACGGCAGACCGCTCTCAGATCTTGACAACCGTCGCAACAACCGCAGGGATGTTGGGCCCAAAACAACAGCAGGTGTAAATCCAAAACCTAACCTACCTACCATGTAAATCCAACAGCAGGTGTTATTTTTTTCAAGGCACATCCCTCAAATGATGCACTGTCAGATGTTGGAGGCGAAACTGGCCCGCAGTTTCGGTCCGCTCCGTAGGGAAGCGAGCCGCGCGTTGGCGCGCGGCGCGCCCGCTGCGGGCTCCTGAGGACCGGAACACAATCCACTTGGGTGGCGAATGGTAAGGCCTGGCGTGTGGGTCGCCTGGCACGTGGCAGGTGTCGTGGATGAAGCAGAGAAGCCTGGTGACACCGCTGGATTCCAAGCCTGGTTGACACCGGATCAGTTTTGCGCGAGGGCATGAACAGGTAAGACACCTTCATGACATGGGATCTGACATGCTTCATGACACTTGTGTGACCTCCTTGTACGGATCGGCTTGCCCTTGGACAATCTTTTGGTAGATGCTTGGAGATGGGAGCTCCCATTGTTTATCCAATGTCTATCCCACTTCCTGGATGGATCAGGGCTGCACACCCATTTGTTTCCAAACCGCACGAGCCCAACGGACACATCACCCAAATCCCGCTTTCCGCGCCGGTTCCGCGTTTTCGGCGCCGTTCACCGCTGAATGGCACCACGTCGACGTGCGTGGCGTGGTCGAAACGTGGGGGCCAGGTGATGAGTCAGCACTGGGTCTCGAACATCAGCGGCCTCATGGACGTGGCGGTCGATCGGTCGCCTCTGGAGGAGAGCGGAAACACGGAAACAGGAGGGATGGGCCAGAACTTGGAGTTCCAACACCATGGCTGAACCGGTCATGACTTAACGGTCGACCAAGGTCAACGGTGGTCTTTTTGAGTCACAGCCATCTTGGGACAAGGGCGGATGGGCGGAGAGTGCCCGAGTTCGGCCGCCCGTTCGGGCGGAGGAGGGTCGCCACGGTCGGCACGGAGGTTGATGGTTGTGGGGATGGAGACTTAGAGGTGTGAAGATCTGCAGCTGAAGATGACTCCCCCCTAAAGCATCAAAAAAGCAGCTTTTAGCTGCTGATGCTGACAACCAGGCAGACATGACATGGGACGTTTGGTTGGGGGGGTCTCAAGACATTTGCTAAAGAGGATCCATCCAAGTGCATAGTAGATGATCGTGGAAGCCGAAGAGATCAACCAGATCAACCAGTCCACGTTCTCCACCGTAGCGGAAGCCGAAGATCGAAAGGTATGTGTTCCGGTGCTTGGCTGTTTCTGCTGTGTTTTTGCATCACACCTTCCGGTGCTTGCGCCTGTTTCGCAGGGAAGAGAGTGAGTTGAGTGGAGGAGAGAGAGAACCCCAAGAGGATCCAAATGCCAACCAAATACTGTTGGATCTTGATTAGTAAAAGGGAACCCCCCCCCCTCAAACAAATGGGGAGCCTCTATTAAAAAGACTACCACCAAAACAAGTCTGGGTTCCTAGGAGGATTTCTTTTTGTAATTGATTGTAGCAGCCACGAGGCCCAAAGCCTAAGGCTGAGGTGCACGGCCACCTAGGGCTCTTCGCCACCCTCGACGGGTGGAGAGAGCGTCAATTAGGTCGCCCCTGTGGGCGACCAGCCTTGTTCCTTTCAGGCCTCTCGGTGTCTTGGCTTCGAAACGGAACACGCGCCATGGATGTGTCAGATGCTTTGAAGGCGGCAGATTCCATTCTGTTGGATCCCCTCCGATCCCAGGTGAAATCATTGTTCACCCCATTGTTGGAGCCCTCCTTTCTGGTCGCTCTGGGAGGGAAGACTGTTATGATGGGGGAACTCCTTTCGGCACAGGACAATTGGCTCGATCTCTCAGCAGCCTTGTTCACACCAGGTGGTGGCTTTGGCCGTGCTGATGAGAATGATACAGTGTTTCGTATTTTCATCCAAGGTCTCAACCAGCGATCCTTGTGCCTGCACTCTGGAATGAATTTGGTTTGTTGTGGGTATCTCAAAAAGATGGACAATCCGCGCCATTTTACATTGGATGATGCTTCTGTGTCATACAAGCCTGATCTCATGCAGGACATGCCTTGGAATGTTTTTCATTCTTTCGCCGGCTCTTATGCTGGCTGGAGCCAGAGCATGCACTGGTTGAAGTCGAACACCGACTGGCTCATTCTAGGACAAGAGTATTTCCTGGATGCGGACCCAATGGTCATGCAGCTTTGGTCCACCAAGTACCAACAAGCGCATGTGAGGTGTCCGGTCAGCTTCACCACTCCCTGGCCCCATGGCCCTCATGTTGGTATGTGCGGATGCGTGAGTGATCTTTCTGTCTTGAACCTCCTGAGGACTCAAACGAACCTTGTGCATACACTTTCACCGCCATGCCAATCCTGGAGTAAAGGGGGTCGAGCCAAAGGCCTTGCCGACTCCAATGGACAAGCGTTCATTGAGAGCATTCAGCTTTCGTTTGCCATGCAACCCAATTTCATGGCACTCGAGTGTGCAGATGAGCTCACAAAACATGAGCACTACCAGTTCGTTCTCGCCTATGCAAAAGCACTCGGATATCGGCAGATTTGGTCTCAAATCACTCCATACCACACTGTGGCCAACCACCACCGAACACGGTGGTTAGCTGTTTGGACTCGTAGTGACCATGGAGCACATTCATTTCCGTTTCAGCTGAACTTATCCATTGTGCCAAGGTGTCCATGGACGGATTCCCAATATCGTTTCCGGTTGCCACCCACATGGGCATCACAATTGGTCCTCAGTCCTTCGGAATGTGAGATTTACAACAACAATGAGTTGCTGCCACCAGCTAAACGTTTGAAAATGTCAGGCCCTTTGTATGGAAACGAGGTTCTCCACCAACGTGTGCTCAAACCAGGGGAGGTACTCCCAACATTATGTGCTTCCTATGGCACACAACACCTGTTGGCCTCCACGCATATCCGAAGCAAGGGAATCTATGCTCATCTCAGGAAGACTGAACGTGGGTTTGAGTTTTTCGACCCGGCTATGTTTTGTTGCCTTTTCGGGGCGATTGAAGAAACGATCATGCCTATCAAGATCGGGGAATCCTTCCACGGGATTGGAAACGCTGTCTCCATTCCACATAGTCTCCTCACGCTCTGTATCGGCTTTCAGGCACTTACTGAGGAAGCAATCGATCCCATCCAACTTGTCAAGCGAGCTTGGAAAGACAAATTGACTGTTTCGAATGCCATTCTATTCGAACAAGGAGATTTTGTACACCTGCAACCGATCGTAGGTGCCATGGCCCATGTGAAGCCACGGCCGAGCATGCCGTGCGAAGAGACTGCATTCGTTTGTGTGACAGGAAGCTACTCAGGTGCAGACTTCGGCCAGCAGGTCCCTGCTCACATCAAAGTGCGCGAACTTTTCCATTTGTGTTTCCAAGGGCCCGGGGATCTTGTCAGCCAGATTTCCTTAGGTGATGACTCCCATCAAGCCGAGCATAGCATTGCCATTCGATCGCTTGCCTCATCAGACCGCCTTTGGCATTTGTTTCTAGGACCACGGATTGTAGGTCAGTGTGCTTTTTCGACAGTGCACTCACCTGTTGAAATGCCTGCTGAGGTCATTTGCATCTCCCCTACGCAGCCAATCAGCTATGCCGAGCACACAATTGAGCTGCCATCGGTGATCCCTTTTGATATTGTTGCCACTCCGGAATTCCGTAGAGCCCAACAGGTCATCGAAACACTGCAAGATGACATGGCTCACAAGTCTGTGCATGTTGCTATTCTACAGGTTGGCAGCCGATTTGCATTGTGGATCACCTGCTCACCGAGGCAACAATTAGACCTCATTGAAAAGTTGGTGCACGCTGTCGGAGATGATGAGTATGTCCATGAACATCAATGCACAATCCGAGGTATTCCAAGCCTTTTCGTGCTCATTGGACCAAGAGAACGTGCATGTACAGAGATTGACATCATCGTCTCTCAAGGACACATGGGTTATTTTCAGGCCATCCGCCTGCCCGACCAGTGTCTCCGCTGCTTGACTTTCAAGTATCGCAATGAGCCCATGTCCATCTCACATCGAAATGACAAGCCGGTCGAAGAACGTACTGCCCTTCAACATGGAGACATTGTCAGATTGAAACCTATGCCGGTGACAGCAGGAGGCCATCATCAGAGTGGAGGACGTCCTCCATTCTTGGAAGCTGGAGCCAATTTCGCCTCACGTGCAGAGTTTGCCACCAATACGCACGGATGGCTTGCAACAGATGAAATGTGGGCGGCCACACAGACGTTGATGTGGACTTACACGGATCTCAAGTTCACTCCACCAATGCTGTGGAATCCCAGCTCTACAGAGTTTGATGAGTCAGCTTTCGGTGAGCCATCGATTGCAAACAATTCGATTACGATCATTCCTCTGCTGGTATCCTCCCATTGGGGTGCCATTGAGATCACACATCGTGATGACACAGTCAACATCGTCATGGTTCAGATTCCAAGGGAGTTGCAGAACAGAGCAATCTTTATTGTGGCGCGATTGCTGGACATTGGTCCCCATCGCATTGGAGTTGCTACACAGCATGAGATCACAGCACCACATGTCTGTGGATGGAATCTCCTTTTTCGGTGGTACACCAGATGCAATGCTATTGAGTCGATTGCTGACCTCTCCAACCACTATGACCTCCCGGGAAACTATGCTGACATTGTCAACTTTGTCATTCAAGCTTCTGTCGAAGAGTGGCGAGCTACTACTATGTCACAGTACATGTGCCATTTTGCTGTGCGCATCCGCCGGAATTTCTTTCTCCAGCTTGCACATCAAGAAGCAAGAGGTCGCGAGAGCACTCAAACGGCTCTCTACGTTGTGCATCCACCAGGCACTCGCTTACCATCGGACCAGGTCCAAGAGACCTTGTCCATCGTTGACTACAACCCTATTGCTCGCAAGAATGCAAGAGTTCAAGCACGGCTGCAGCATTTCAGCCAGTATCCAGGATGGATGGCCACAGATGAGTTCGATTACACCCTCGACACTGCCAGGGCAATGAGTCCCTCGACGTTGTTCTGCCCGCCAGCCATCTGGAGCTCGATCCGAAGGGACCTGCATTTTCTGAACGATCTTATTCCTGATTACGGAGCTCATGTGATTTGGTTCATCATCATTGACAACCATTGGCTCCAAGTTGAGGTGTATATCACTGAGCAGGATGCCTCCTTTGGTGTCACTTCCCCTCCATCCATGCGCCAGTCGGTTGAAGCTCTGATCGAGTACCTCATTGATGTCACCAAGGTTGATCGCAATAATCTGCAGATCACGTTCATTGACCAAAGTGCTCCACCTCACATGTGTGGATACCAGCTCCTCTACCACATCCATCAGAGGCTTGGAATTGGGTCAGACGCGGTGACAGCCAGTCAACGACGTCAGTTGGCTTGTGCCCCTTTTGCTGCTACGGTGTATCAGATTCAGCAAGCTGACCGAAATGTATGGCTTGGAGCTGAAGCCAGGGACAACCTCGTCACCTTTGCTACCAATGTGAGAAACTGGTTCCTTGTTCAGGTCACCGAGAACAGATTTCCAGCTCACTACTTTGCAGCAGGAGTTGAAGGTGATGTCACAATGCAGCCAGCTGATCCGCTCGCTTCCAAGTCCTCGGTCGCCACATCCAAGAAATCGGCTGCACATCCGGTCGACATCCTACAAATTCAGGATCCTTGGATCAAGAAGGCCCCACGGCCCGCTCAATCACGATGGGAAGATTTGCAGATCAAGGGCACCATCCCTTTCAACGGTA